TATCTCGGCTCCCGAATCTTCAACTGATGATAGCCTGAACGCAAGTCAATCTTAGAAACACATGAACACCTGTAACTGATCAAACAGGTCATCAATACGAGGCAAAGGATAACAGTTCTATACTGTAACCTTGTTCAACTGGCGATAATCAATACACACACACATAGAACCATCCTTCTTCTTCACAAAAAAGACAGGAGCACCCCAAGGTGATACACTGGGATGAATGAAACCCTTATCAAGCAATTCCCATAACTGCTTCTTCAACTCCTTCAACTCAGGAGGAGCCATACGGTATGGAGGAATAGAAATGGTCTAAGTGCCCAGCAACAAATCAATACCAAAATCAATATCTCTATCGGGCGGCATGCCCGAAAGATCAGCTGGAAACACATCAGAGAAATCTCGTACTAGTGGGACTGAATCAACTGTAGGGGTATCAATACTGACATCTGTCACATAAGCTAGATACACGTCATACCCCTTCTCAACCATACGCTGAGCCTTAAGGAACGAAATAACTCTACTGTAAGTATGATCTAAGGTACCCCTCCACTCTACTCACGGTACACCTGGCATAGTCAGCGTCACGATTTTCATGTGACAATCAAGAATAGCTTAATGGGGCGACAACCAGTCCATGCCCAGAATAACATCAAAGTCTACCATGCTGAGTAATAACAAATCGGCTCTGGTCTCAAAACCACTAAGATCAATCAAACAGGACCAATAAACGCGGTCCACAACAAGAGAATCTCTAACAGGAGTAGAAACATAAACAGGAGAACTCAAAGAATCCCGAGATACGCCCAAATGCGGGGCGAAATAAGAGGACACATAAGAATAGGTGGAGCCTAGATCGAATAAAACCGATGCATCTCTATGACAGACCAGGATAATACCTGTGATGACAGAATCGGAGGCGACAGCCTTAGTACGGGCAGGAAGGGCATAGTATCTGGCCTGGCCTCCCCCTCTAGGGTGACCTCCACCTCTAGCTAGCTGAGCAGGTGGGGTAGCAACTAGTGCTGTGATCATAGCCTGAGAACTCTGCGGGGAGCGCTGTGGCTGAGAGGTCTGTGAAGGTGCACCCCTCCCAAGACTAGGGCAATCCCTCACCACATGGCATGTGTCACCACACTCAAAACAAGCTCTGGGAAGACGTGGTGGCTGTGACTGGCTCGGGCCAGGCCTGCTGGACTGACCACTGAAAGCACCTCGTGTAGGAGGCGCACTAGATATTGGAGGTGCATAATAAGGCTCCTGAGGTCTAGGAAGAGCTGGAATACCACTGGCTGCTGGAAGAGCTGAATCAACGGGGCGACTCATATAACCCCTACCATGACGAGCTGTAGCTGGGGAATGGGCACCAGAATAGTGACCCAACTCTCGAGACCTCTTGGCCTCCCTCTCCTCTCGGTCCCGAGCATGCATACCCTCTACTCTCCTGGCAATGCTCACCACCTGCTGATAAGAAATATCCATCTCCAACTCCCGAGCCATACTAGACCTGATGCTGGGAAAGAGTCCCTCAATAAACCGGCGAACCTTCTCGCGAACAGTAGAAACCAAAGTTGGTGCATGTCTAGCCAAGTCAGTGAAACGGATAGCATACACCGAGACAGTCATAGTGCCCTGGTGCAAATGCTCAAACTCTGTGTGTCATGCATCCCTGAGGCTCTGAGGAACATACTCTCTCATGAACATATCTGAAAACTGAGTCCAAGTCAGGGAAGCTGCCTCATCCAGAGTGTCTAACTCATAAGCACGCCACCATTGATAGGCGGCTCCTCGAAGCTGGAAAGTGGTGAAGGAAACCCCGCTCGATCCTGATATACCCATGGTACGGAGGATACGGTAGCACTCCTCTAGAAATCCCAGAGCATCATCTGATGCTAGTCCACTGAATATAGGAGGCTGATACTTCTTAAACCTCTCAAGCCTCTTCTGCTCCTCCTCTAAAGCTACTGCCCTCTCCTCGGGCTGAGCTGGGGCTATAGGCTACACCGGTATAATCTCTGGGACCTGCTCAACATGCACTCGCTGCTCAGGAGTGCGGGCGGCGGGAGTCTACGCTCCTCCCCCGGCCTGGGATGTGGCTGCAGCAAGAGGAAGCAACCCTGCCAGAGCTAGAGTGGTGTACATACTCATAAACTGCGCAAGAGTCTCCTGGAGAGCTGGAGTAGTAGTTGTAGTAGGCGTGTCAGGCGCCTGGGCTCCAGTTGGAACTGCTGGTGGCTCCTCTGTAGCAACTCGCGCGGGTGCTCTGGCTGCACCACGTGCGCGTCCTCGGCCCCTACCCTGGCCCCAACCTCTGACGGCTCTCACAGGGGGTGCGGGTGTCCGGTCACCTCCAATAGCACGTGTCCTCACCATCTATGAGAGAATAGCACACAGAAGTTTAGAATTTTGATACCAAAAAAATCTCGCACGACCAGGAATTCAAATGGAGTGAAATTTTCTTAACAATTACATAGCCTCTCGTAGATGAGTACAGACGTCTCTGTACCGATCCACGAGACTCTAGTGAATCGGCTTGTGATTCATGACTCCTATGAACCTAGAGCTCTGATACCAACTTGTCACGACCTAAGTTTGCCCTCTGTGAATATGTCGTGACGGCACCTAGTCCCTACGACTAGGTAATCCTAACAATTTCGATAAAAAGAAAGAAATAAATGCGAAAACTAAAAAAAGCCGAAGATAACATATATAAAAAGGTTTAAGATACTGCTCGGCATACAGAAAACAAGATCTCAAAACCGCACAACTCCCAAAACCCAAAATCCCATGAATCACAAGCTATGAATATGACAAAATGCTCTAACTCTGGAATGTCTAAATCAAAAGAAAAGATAGAAAGGCTATCGCTACAAGAGAGAATGGAAAGGGACTCCTCGGTCTGCGGACGCGGTAGATATACCTCGAAGTCTCTGGAGAATCGCCTCGCCTCAAGGGTAGTAGGGCTGGGTCGAAGTACCTAGATCTGCACACGAAAAACATGAGCAGGAAAGGGCATGAGTACACCACACCGGTACCCAGTAAGTGCCAAGCCTAACCTCGGTCGAGTAGTGACGAGGAAGGTCAGGGCCCTACCAGTCATATACAATAATATAAAGGGAAAAGAAGCAGTATTAAAGTACCACAGGGTAATATGGGTAGCAACAACTACAACAACAACAACAACAACAACAACAAGCCCAATTTGATCCCAACAAGTGGGGTCTGGGGAGGGTAGTCTGTACGCAGACCTTACCCCTACCTAATTCAGGTAGAGAGGCTGTTTCCAATAGACCCTCGGCTCAGGAAGGGCAAGAAGAAGAAGAGGAAAGCAAGGGAGAAAGAAGGATGGAAGATAAAAAAAAAATTTAAAAAAAGGATAAGTGGCACCAAATAATAGCAACAGGGAATACAATACCCGAGGCGAACAAAACCACATAACCTACTAAAAATCTAAGACTATGAAGGGACTCGCCTACTACTAAGACTATCAATGAACAACTATAAACTACCAACTAACCTTCTACCTTAATCCTCGACCTCCACCCTCTCCTATCAAGGGTCATGTCCTCAGTGAGCCGAAGCAGCGCCATGTCCTGCCTAATCACCTCTCCCCAATATTTCTTAGGCCTACCTCGACCTCTTCTCAAACTCTCCATGGCCAACCTCTCACACCTCCTAACTGGAGTATCAATGCTTCTTCTCTGAACATGTC